GACTTTTAGAATAAAATGAGACTAAAATGCAGCTCTGAGGATGGGGTCCACCCGCAGTAGGTTTAGCGCCTTGTAAGATGAGAGAGTGCCAGAGAAGCTACAAAAGCACACAGCTGAAGGAGGACACTGTAAACCTCTTTGGCCCTTTCACCTCTGCATGATTATTGCCCTGGCTGAAACCTGACAAGTGTCCCAGTGGCAGCACCTGAATTGGTTCCCTGCACAAGGTCTGCACAAATATCTTAACTCCTCAGGAGTCGGACATTGTGCATACGGAGCAGCACTGCAGCCGCACCAGCCTGCAGTGGTCTCAGGTACCCCAGCCCACACCACCTGCGCACCCCTTAGTTCAGATTAAGCTGATAACAAGCATCCTCCTGAGAGGAGCCGGCCCTGCACTCAGCCTTTCACGAAAAAGGATCTCAGGCAGGCTGTCAGTGATTTTGGCATGCAAGTCACTGAGGCAAATCCTCCGTTGATGTGGTCAGGAAGGACTGGGAGGACATCAGCAGAGGAACCCCAGTAAAAAAGCAGGGTCTGGTTTACCTCATAGGTTCCAAGCTCTCTGAACTAAGGAGCCAAGGCTCAAGGGTGAGATGGCCTCTCCCTCCAGGTCTTCCCGCCTTGTCAAGCCACCTGGTATCCAGCATGGCCAGAGACCTCCGACCCAGTCACACCTCCTTCCTTCTCACATCCTGTGCCACGTGCAGTCCCCTGAGACACTCCCTAGGAGCTGGTGAGAGCTGTCCCTGGCTGTGCCTGCCCCACCTCTCCCCTCAGTCACTCCCTTCTCTCCAGCACAGCGGCAGCCTCAGACACCTGCTGGGCAGCGCAGGCTCTCACGCCCGGGGTCCTCGGTCCGGGGTTCTCTCCCAGCCAGACTGGGCACCCGTGGTCTGCACATCTGAGACCCGCAGTGCCTGTACTATTAACATCCACTCTCCAACCAGTGTGCTTCTGGGAGTGCTCAGCGTGTGGCCCAAGGAATCTGTCACTGCCACCCAGAGCTGGAGGAGGCCAGTTCTCCCCCATCACAGCTCAGTGCCCCTCACCACACCTGTGAAGGGTCAGATCCAGTAACAGGTGAGCAAAACAAGGAACAGACAGAACTCATTTTGCATCAAAGAACAAAACCTCAGCAAAGTGGGCTGTAAAGAATTGTCTCCTGCAGCTCTTCATGAGCCAGAAGCGTCCAGTCTGCAGACTGGGCCAGCATTCCTTGGGCGATGCCACTACTCGGCCCCAGTGCAGGAGCAGTGGGCAGGTCATCATGCCAGGCTCCATGGCCGACTCCTCTCCCCTGAGTGTTGAGGCTCAGTTTTGTGGGCTCCTCTGCATGTCTGGCCCTGTTGGGCTGAGCTTCCTGGGACCAAGAGAAGCCCTGTGGGAACAGGAACCTCTCAGAAGCTTGTTTAAAGTGGGTTGTGCTGCAAAGCGCTATGAACAAGATTGGGGAGACAGCTTCTGCAAGAGGGGAGAGGAGCAAGGATGGAGGGAGAGGGACAGGGGGGATGGAAAGGCACTGTGATATGTGCCACCCCGCCCAGTGCCATGTGTGTGTGTGATCACTGGGTACTGCAAACATGCACTAACAAAAATTACTATTAAAAAAAGAAAGACCACAGTGGTGTTCTTACATTGGGGCTGCTTTCTCTTTGGGAAACGTTTTTCTCTGGGAATGCCCTTCCCCACAGGTCACAGCTTCATCTCTTCCACAGCAAGTGGATGTGCTGGTGTCCAGCACCTGCCTGGCAGGAAGTGTCAGAAGGCGCAGGTGCTGCTGGGTACCCAGCAGGGTGGGGTGCAGGCTGCAGCCCCTCACCCCTCTCCTGGGCCCCATTTTCCGGGTAGGCAGTTTGGCCTCTCTCTGAGGAAGTAGCCACCTCCTTTGTTACCTCTGCAGGGTGCCCACCCTGAGCCGTGTCCACTGAGGGAAGTCCACAGCACACACCTGCTTGGGCACATCCATGCTGAGGCTGACTCATCTGGGAAAAGGAGGGGAAAGAATCCCCAAACCATTGAGGTGAAGAGGCAGAGCAAAGGAAAAGTCCTCACTGAGAAATCCCGCCCTGCCTGCTCCTCAGGTTTATCCTGGGAGGCAGAGGCAATGTGGGTTCTCCACTGTCTGGGTGTCACAGTGCTCTGGGTGCAGAAATGAGCATTCACACCAAGCTCCCAAGTCGCTGTTCTTGGCAGAGGACGGCAGGGCAGGTGGCAGAGGGCTGAGCCTGGGCTCTTTTGGGGTCCTTGCAGGTGAATGTGGATACATTTGCAAGGATGCACTCAAGGGATTCAGCCTTCCCGGTTTGATCTTCGGGGCAGTGAGTTCCGAGGGGAGCAAACCATCGGGGATTCGTGCTTCGCTCCTTCAGCCCGGACCTAACACATCCTGGCGCTGCTGGCAGCACAGTCTTTCTGCTGCCAGCATCTTGTTGCTCGAATCATCACAACATGGAAAGTCCTGACTCCTAGGCTGCCTGAGGCGAGTCTCAGAGAGGATGTAATTGGGCCGATCCATCTGGCCCAGAGTCTCCGGGTGCAGAGTCCTCTGGGCAGAATAAATTGTTATTTTGGGAGCCCGCGTTGATCATGTTGGCAGCCACGTTCTGGAGCTGCGAATCCAGAGCTGCAGATGGATGAGTGGGTGCCCTGAGCAGGAAGTGAGTGAGTCCTAACAGCCTACCCCTCTCACCCGGTCCTCACGGGCGAGGACCAAAGAGCACCCCACGCGGCTTCGGTGTCACAGCCTCCTTGGTAACATTGGTTTTATTTTGTTAATCTATCACACATGTAAATAAAAACACATTTCATAACCTGCAATGTTTCATACACAGCAGAACTCTAAAACTGGTATTCGAGCTCTGGTTCTCTTTACCCCTAAATTCCTCTTCTCCGACCATATATTAATCTCCACAGATTTTATTTTCAGAAATACTGTGTGTTCCAGTGCCACAGGATGAGCCGGTCTCATTTCCAAGCAAAGCAAAAGAAGTAAACAGCCTTCTACCACCACCCACCCTAAAACCCTCTCTGAGCTGCAGAAGGGCTGTTTCTTGTTCCTGAACCCCCAAGACCCTTCCCCACCCTTCCTCTCCTGTCAAAGCTGCTGCTTTCCAGCAGCCCTGTCCCTCACCCTGGTCACATGAGGAGGACTGGAGAAGGGAAGCAGTGACAGGGGGAGTTCCTCATACAGAGGGCTGTGGGCGGGCTGCTGTGGCTGGGGTCTCTCCTCCAGTGATGCCTTTGGAAGAACTTGCCTCCCACATGAAGCTCCCACCTTCTTCCCTCCTGTTTCTCTCCCCTCCTCTCCTTCCCTCCCCTCTCTTCTGCTCCTTTCCTCCCCTCTCTTCTTCTCAACTACCTATACTTAATGGAACACAGCCTCTGCTGTAAGATGGGTGACCCTTGCCTCAATGAGCCCAGATGGAAAGCCGAGGTGCCCAGACCATGGCAGGGGGAGGACAGACAGGTTTCTGTCTTTGCAGAACCTGGAGAAAAGACACCAATGACCACACAAAGTAGAACAGTGTTGACCACAGGAAGACGGTATTGTTTTTAGTGTGTGTTTTAGGACATGCCTTTGTAGGTAATCAGTGAAATCAAATAAGATTCATCCTACATTTTCCATTTGATAATACTGGAATCTTTCCATATTCACTTAAAAATGCACGCACTTCCTGGTTGTGGGGAGCTGCCTGATGCCATCTCTGCCATGGGACTGGAACTGACCTTTGACCTACGAGGCATTCCGCCTTGTGTGACCCACCCCACCTGTCAGCAGAACATCGCAGTGGTTAAATTTTTACATGATGGAGAATGTATCATTGAAAGGCAAACATTTCTGAGATTTTTTTGCATCTGTTTGAAAATGCAGCCTGGATATTATCAGATTCACGTGTTTACCTTGGGCTGTGTCCCACGTACCTTGTAAATATTTGATAAATGTTACGGTTTAATTCCTGATAACATTATGAAAGTGCTAAGAAATGTTATGGCCGATAACCTCTTTTTGAGTCCGGGATGCACACGGACCGTGGAGAGTTATTGATTGACCAGAGTGAAATGATTTTGTTTTCAGGGAAACACAGCCTCACAGAGCCCACATTCAAACTTTCCCTTCGTTTCATTGTATGTTGTCCAAGGACAGAGATAAGATATTTTTTCCCCTGCTGTTTCTCAAGGAGGTCAGCCTGGGTCTCCCAAGACCAAATATTTATGGACATATGTGAGTCTGCAGTTCTCCGATGACAAATGTGTGCTAATATGTCCGAGGGAAAGATTTTTAGACAGTGATGTTGACTGTCTGAGCTGGACATTTACTTAGCTGTGTAGCTGGGAAGCAAGTACCTGGGCCTCAGTCAAACAAAGGGTTTCTAATGGACGAGTTCACACTGGGAGGTGAAACCTCCAAACTCAGGACACCTGGTGCAAAGGCCTCAGCCTGGTAGGGTCGGAGATTTCTACCCGAACTCAAACTCGGGAGTGGTTTGTGACAGGCAGAGGCCCTCCCAGGGGGACAGCTTCAGCTGGTGTCTGACCAGTGCACCCACTAGGAAGTCGCAGTTTTACAGGAAAATGTTTTCAAATCTGCCGCAGTATAAGCTTAGATTCTGTTTGATTTTTTATTAATTTATTTTTTATTTGTCTTCAGAACTTATTTTGATTAGTTTGAACACATCATGAAGGTGCTGGTCCATGTGTGGAGCTGGTGCACACCCCTGACCTGTCCGGCTCTGTCTTCCGTTTCTTCCCCTTCCCACTCCGTGTCTTAGCTCCCTCCTAATTTCCACAATAGGGTTGCTTTGCATGACATACAACAAGAAGAAATCTGCTTCATGCTATTAGCTACAAGGTACTAGATACCAGGGAGGCAGACCCAGTGGGCAGAGTGTTTGTGCATGTGTGCAAAGCCTTGATACCTCAGTTTGAGCTGGATACTGCCTGTGTCCAGTTTGCGGAGCCCACTGAACTCTGCAGCATGATAGATGCAGGTGTGAATATATGTACATTTTCACGCTCCGTATTAGTGTGTATAATTAATAGACAAGGCATATATCTAAAAAGTATGTGTGTGACCCCAGTAGTCTGCAGTACTACTGTTCTTGAATGAAAATTGGATTTTCTTTCTCCCCAGGTCTAAGGAGTCTTATGCGCATGTGTGCTGTGTCTTGCCAGGCAGTTGGCACATGCGCAGTTAGGTTCCTGGGAACCATGTGTTGGGGTGGCACCCGGCCGTGAGCTCCGCAAGGCACGGGTCACACTGGGTGATGCCCTAAGGGCTGTCTGTGGTCAGTGATCAATAATTATCGAGTCATGCAGAAGTACAGGTGGCGAGGATTCCCAATGTCCCGGCTCCCACTTGGTCCGGGTCCGTATCTTTCTGCTCCCAGCTTGTCCCACCGGGTGCAGAGGGCGCCGGCCTGGGTCAGGTGCTGCGCGCAGCCAGGGAGTGACACGGGCAGCGCGGTGGTCATGCTGCCTGCAAAGTGCTCAGAGGACAGCGTGGGGTAGGTGGTGCCATGCTCCGGGCAGTGCAGGGATGGGGTCCCCGAGAGGCCTGCCTGGAAGAGAGGCTTGGGGGGAACGGGAGTGGGGCCCACGTGCTTTGTTCTGTGCACCTTAGGGTTCATATAATTATATAATTCTTACTGAGGAGAAGACTGCAGGCTCAAGAAGTTGCACAATCTGTGCTTGGTCACCAAGTAAATAACACTATTGCAACTCAAGCCTAGGTCTGCCTGGCTGACCCCAAACCCCGTGAACTGATGGCATGGCACCTTTCTAAAGGAGAAAAGTGCAAAGTAATTCTGTGAAAACCCAGGACTGTGCTGATCTAGTTCGGATCCGGGAGATGGGATATTGCTGTCCCCTGCGTTTTTCCTGGAAGATGACAACATGACGGAACCGAGGCTCTGCCAAGCTAGGTAAGTTGCCCAGGCCTGCTGGCTGTGAGTACCCTGGGCCCGTACCCTAGGCGCTTGTCATCTGCACAGGACAGCAGGTGTTTCTGCTCTGCAGAGCCAGGGGACAGTGGCCGCCGGTGCTCTGCGCTGAAGTGGTTTTGGAATCTCTCGAAGAGCCCTGGAGAGGGTCTGAGGAGATTGGCCCAGGCCTGTACAGAGCCTTGCTGAAGCTCCCGTCCCTCATACCCAGGCCCCACAGCACAGATGACCACACCCCAGTTGTACGCCCCCACCTGCGAGGCAGAGACAGAAGGCCACAGCCTGCTGCACCTATAGACCTGCTGCTCAAGGGACACTATGTCCATTCTGCCACCAACCAGCAGGTGCCAGGGCTGGCAATTGATTTCCAATCAGGAGACATTTCAGCTGGTGAACAAGTGCAAATTAAAAATATTAGTAATACAAATCGGTTCATTCACGATGAAACACTGTGAAGTGTGTACATTGAGTGCTTGGAGTACTTTGTGGATATGGGAAGCATGTCAGGACATGGGACAGGAACCTGGTCAGAGTCAGGGCAGGGAGGGCTGGAGGGCAATTCGTGTCTCTAGGGTGCACAAGGGAATGCTGTGTGGCCTGCGAGAGGCCAGGCCTGGTTTCTCCTTTGGCTCCCACATCCTCCCTCCGTTAGCCCCAGTAAGACAAGGGCTGCGACAGGAGGAGCCAAAGCCACACAAACTTCAATGAAGCAGTAACAAACGCACCACGGTGCACTAACCTGTGTTAGTTAGTTAGTGCCATTACAGAGGAACAACTTTGCCTTCTTTCAGAACTGCGCTTTCAACTTTTCTGTTGTAATTATTTCATTTATTCCAAGATCTCCCCATACTGGTGGATTTCTGTTTGTTTTGCCAACACTGATCATGCATTACCTTTTACTCTGAGTTTATCTGTGACTGACGGTTTGGTCCAGGATGGAGAGTGGGGCATCTCCACATAGGGCTTTTTTTCAAGGTATTTGACTTGGGCCCAAACTGCGTCCTTTCCAGGTGAGCCCCTCAGAAGTGCAGCATTTGGGTCTTTGCTGAACACGAAGCGGATTCCTAGAAAACAAGCAGGCATTGATTTGTGTTCATTGATGTGCTTTTACTAACTGACAGGAAGTGTGTTCTGAACACCTCTCCCCCAACCATTCCACTCCAATAAGCCACTGAGTTTGATCATTTCCAGCATACGTGCCCTGCCACTCCTATGAGAGAAGGGACAGCCTCCCTGGCCACCCCACTACATGGTGGCATTTCCTGCAGTGGCACCTACATCCTGGCCTCCCAGCACCTCTGATGTGGGGAGGCCTGAAGGAGACAGGGGCCACGATGAGTTCCTTGAGCCATTCTCTGTCTTTAAACAGAGATTTAGCTAGAAATAAGCTTGCCAGAGACTGTATACTCACCCAGTATACATGCAAGGCAAGTTTGGGGGGGAAGATTATTGTGAAATGGGGAGACTGAATCACACTGTCCCCCGCTCCCAGCCAGCGATTACTCCTCTGAAGTCTTAGCCCATCAGCCACCATCCAGGATTCCAAGCTCCTGTCACTGTCTGCTCAGACACCGAGACCTAGAGGCACAGGGTGTTCAGGAGACAGGCAGACGGCAGGCTGGGGTGCTGTGGTGTGGATGGGACTAGAAAGGCCTCTTGGGGCTGTTCATTCCCACCTGGCCTCTAAACACTGGAGAGATGTGGACCTGGGAGAAAGTCATTTTCTGAGCGACGTTCTTGTGCATCAAAAGAGGCTTCTGGGGACTTATTTCTGCCACTTTTTATTTGCTTGCTTGGTTGTTTTAAAATCAACAGAGTCCAAAGCACTATCAGTTTCACCGTAAGAGGAAACAGGCGAAACCGTAACACTGCTAAGGCATCCATAGCCTTCTGCTGTGTTTCCTTTGGGAATATTTTCTCTGAGCATCATTTTTCCATTGCTATACGTTACTACCGTTTTACTTAACCCACAGTGCATACTTCAGTCTCTTTAGCGTTATTTTTTTATTCCAAGGCCATTATCTCTAATGGCTGCCCAGCGCGCTGTCCAGTGTGTGCACCACAGTTTAATGCTCCTTGCCGACAGAGGTTGTATCAGGTCTGCGTGGAGCTGCTCCGGGCATCTCCTGCAGGACATCGGTGGAGCCCTGAAACCCCTGAAGCTGGATTTCTTTGGTTAGTTTCCCCTCTATGTGGTTCCCCTGTTCCCTCACAACAAGTTTTGTTTTGTTGGCAATAAACCAAGTTATGAAACTATCTGAAGCTTTGCGAGAATCTTGCCTGCCATTTTCCCCAGCGTGACCTCAGTGACTGCGATTCCCTTTTCCGAATTCGCGTATGAGAGACAAACTTGCCCCACAGAGACGGGATTTGGGTCTTTGCTGAAGGACCACTGTGACATCTGGGTGGCTCTCCCTTCTGTGCCAGTGGCCTCGGATGTCTCTGAAAGCCTGCCTGAAACGAAAATGGCACTTTTATAGCTGGGGACGTGCCTGTCCAGAGAACGTTTAATCAGAGGTGGCTTCTCCCGGCTGAGGCGGGCAGCAGTCTGTAACTGTAGAGTCCTGCTAATGCACTCTTCTGCCGGGAAGCGGGGTGGGGCAGGGAGCGGGGAGAAGCCATTAACACCCGGAGGTCAGCGCTGCTGATGCTGCCTTTTGTTTGCAGCCTCCAAATGAAGGCTGCTTCTGTGCTTTCCCGTTGCCTCCACCTAAACACACTCTTGGGTCATCTCACTCCGGTCACATCTTTTGACAATTAGCCACCCATTAACAGGGTGATTGAAAAGGAGCCAGCGTGGTTTACACATAAAGTGCTTACGCTTTTCCAGGAAGAAGCATCTCTGCAGTTTCATTAATGCTTTGGCCCATGAGCACACAAAGTAAAAGACGATACTCTAGCAAGCACACAGGGAAGAGAGTGGGGCAGGAAGGCAGAGAATTAAAGAGCGAAAAAGAACCCTGGCAGGTTTTTCTTCTTTTTTCTTCTGCTTTTTTGCTTTAAAGAGCAGGGTAGGCGTTATCTGCCTTTATCTGTTCCCACCTCTAAAGCCAGCATTACCAGTCATTTTGCTTCTGCTTTACTGTTATTATCTGGGTGATGGCTGTGACATGTTGATCATATATGGCAGTGAGAAAATTGATTTCCCTCAACAGAAATGCTTCCAATTTTCCCAGGGCCATAATTTTATGTCCACAACAAAATAAAAGGGTCATTTTCCTTAAGATGAGGGGAATTGAAATCTCTGATAAAAGCTATGGTAAATGTTGTACTTTTGGTGGCGGAAACTGCAGTTTCACAAACATCTGGCCTGACTGATTTGGGAGTGTGGGCTGGGGGCAGAGGAAAGGGATTTGAGGGCAAAGAAGTGTTATTTTTCTTTAAGGGGCTGAATTTGCTTTAAGAAAGGCCTGCTCCTCGGCCTGGCTCTCACGGCTCCCGTTCCCATGGAGTGGAAGCTGCGCAGATTCTGCCAGATGATGCCAGGAAGCCAGAGACCCGAAGATAGCCTTGCAAGGACAGACACCAGTGAGCCTGTCACAGAACTTCCTAATAGACTGTCTGAGGTCACTGTGCAGGCCACAGGTACCTTCCACCAAGGGGGTGATCCTGGGGCCAGCCTAGGTGTAGACACAGGACTCTGGGAACACTGGCTGCTCGCTGACTGCAGTCCTCAGAGCTGGGCTGTTTGCTTAGCAGACTTCAGCCACTCTGATGGAAGCCGATTTCCAAGTAGCGATGGGGCAACGTTTACCAATAAATATTTAGAGCTGGAGACCTTTGCTTCACCCAGACCTACACACAAGGTTAAACTGCGGCGAGATTTCAAGCCAAGAAGCCAAGCAATTTATTTAGCATTTGACTTGACAACAGAGAAACTGTTTTCATGATGGCTCCAGACACGGGAAAAAGGACAAAATGTCTTTTGGTTTGCAATGGGAATCAGCTGAGCTAGGAATAATCTATGTGCTGATGCATTTGCCAGGTAGTCTTAAAATAAGCAAGTACACTTTTGTAATCAGAAATAGTAATTTTTATTATGGGCTTTTTAGTGAATCTGAATAATGCATATTTCTTTGTTAGGAAACAAAATTCATGATGCATTAGAAAATTGGAATTACTGTCCTAGGAAAAATTGAACTCAGGGAGTAGTAAAAGTATAAGAAAAAAAAAAAACATCAATTTTTTTCAAAGGACATTTTTGTAACACAAATAGAAAAACATCTCTTGGTGTTTTCTTTCTGAATTTTCCCTTCTTACTCTACAAAAGCAAACTCTGAATTTATACCCTGCAATAATTGTTCTGTACATGTGTTTTCATGGGTACTGATCTCAGGCAACAAAGTGGAATGAGCTTCTGTCAATAAAGAGCTTAAAATGTGTGTCTTATTTCCAAACCTGCAGGTTACAACAGGGGTTGGTATCCACGCACTGTGGAACAAACGCAGCCACCTGCTTCAGCACTGCCTGCCAGCCAAGAATGACTTTTGCATTTCTTAACTGTTTAAAAAATCAAAAGAGTAACAGTTTGGAGCTTGTAAAGCTTGGGCAGAATGCACAGGTCAGTGTTGTCCACAAATGGAAATGGATAGAAAAACAGTTACATGCGATCCTTTCCAGATGCTTCCATGCAAAGACAGCAGAGTTGAGTAGCTGCAGCAGCACCCACCAAACTAGGGAGCTGTTACCCTGCGCTTAGTTTATGTCCTTTTTCACTGATGCAGAAAGGTTTTCAGATGCTTGGTCTGAGCATTTGGTGTGCGTGAAGCACATGCTGATAGCCATCAGCTTCATATAGGCCCAAACATGGTCTCCTGATACGGAGAAAGCTCACCAACCAGTGAGAAACCATCAAGAATTCTTCCCTCCCCGGCTCACAATGCGGGCAAAGTGGAGATGTGGAGCTTTTTCACCTGTGGCACAAAAAGCATTTCGGTTTTACTGAGGAGGCAGTCTTGAAAAGCAAACAAGACGCTCTCAAGGAGACCCTTCAGATGATAGAAATTCTTAGTGCCCTTGGGACTGTCTGCACCCAGAAGGAATCTAAGTGCACACACTTTGCCGGGTAAGAGTGTTTGTGTGCATCCATTCAGAGGTGTGGATAATGGAAAAGAAAACCCACTTTATTCCTTAGGAGTGGGTTCTCTCAGTGTCCAGCTCTTGGTGCAAGTTGGATGACAGCACTATAAGTGACTCCGAGGATCTGGACCAGCCTGGGTGGGTGTCACTCATTTGGACCCTCGGCCCTGCCTGTTTAATGGCCCAAAGTCTCTGCATTTAGAATAGGAACAATGAAGGAGAGTGGCTCGCTGGCCTCATTAACATGTGAGCTGATCTAGGTAAATCAATTTGGAAGATGTCAGGGCATTTAATCCCTCCCAAGGGTGAGTTGTGGCTTTTTCCAATTTGTTGACCTCAGGTTGCACTCCGAGGAGTTGCACATGTCTCCTCCAGGCTCGCACATCGCTGGTGCACCTGGAACAGGCCTGGGTCTCACAGATGTCTGCTGGTGCCCTCAGCAGACAAGTGTGTGCTGGACGCGGGGAAGATGCATGCATCCAGAGAGCTCCACACACCGCACAGGCGGTGGCACCTCACACATCTGAGCTGCTCTTTCCTGGTGTCAAGCCCACCTCTCTGTGTGAACTGTGTCCCTGATGGTCAGTGTCTGACACAGTGCAGAGGAGGCAATGTCTTTAGGACAGGAGGATCTGCAGTGAGACCGCGACTTGGAGGTCAGCTGGATCTTCTAGGATCGAAACGAGATCCTAAATTAGGTTTAGTGAGCATGAGGTCTGCGTAGATGGCCACCTCGCCAGATCAAAGCTGTCTAGATCATCATACACAGCCCTAATTCCTACGTGGGGATGAATCCAAAGTGTCTGCCTTCACCCGTGGAGGTGGTGCCTGAGAGCCATGTCCTGCTCACAAGGAAGCATCGGCACAGCTCCTCAGACCAGCACTCCTGAGAAGCCGGCAGGTTTCGCTCAGGGACACTGATCCATGGGTAATTAAGTTTGGGAAATATTTATGTAAATAATATTAAACAAATCACTCGACTGCACTGTTTCTCAGTCTGCAGTCATACAGTTATGTGCATGAAGCATCACTTAGAGGGTATTTCCCCAAATACCAGGATTCCACAGTATGAAATACAAAGAATGTTGTATTAAGGATTTATGTGATCCCAAGGTGAGATGTTTTCTTCTAACTAATGACCGAGACCTAGCTAACCTAGTAGAGTGGATGTGATAACTGCAGCAGGTCTTGACGATCTCCTGACTGTCCTCACACCTGGGCAGCACTGAACTCTGGCACTTTCATGTGTTTATCTGTGTTTTATGCTGATGTACCATGATTTTTAAAACATATACATTTTTTCTGTGGTTAGTAATTAATGAATTTGCTTTAAAACAGGAATGAATTCATAGAACATTTTGTTGTCCATCAAGTGACAGCTTATACCTAGGCTGGGACAGTTTGGCAGGAAACGAGGACTTCTCTCACCCTGCGAGGCACAGACAGGGTCACCAACACCAATGCCGTTCCCACTGCTGATGGGTCACAGGGGCTCGCTGGGTTTCTTGGTCATCTCCATGCTCTTTGTGGCTGGACAGGAAGACTCTGAGGCATTATCTCTTAGAGCACAGGGGCTCGGGCGGCCAACGGGCAAATGGTGCACCGGCTCCTGGCTTCTCCACTTCCTGGTGAGCTGGGCTGCAAGGCTTCGGGAACCACATGGACCTCGCTGTTATCTGAGTGTGAGCCAGGACAGGTTGCACAGGAAGTCCTTGGGTGGTCATAAGGGGTAGAAGACTGAGGGTGATACACACCTTGTCCCTAAACCAGCATAACCCTGCAGTGGGTGCTAATATGAGCAAATCAAATAAACTGCCTAGGAAACCTGCCTGAGGGTTAGTTATCCCAGATGTTAAAGTCTAGTTTAAGTTAGGACAGGGGGAGGAGCCCCAGATTGTGCAGGTAATGAGAAGAGCAATAGTGCACTTAGGAATAAAAACCTATATTTGGTTAATTGGTTGCTAATTAACTAATCAGTAATTAATTACTGAGTGTGTCATACACTAGAACTTCCAAGGCAAGAGACATGGTCTTTCCTCGAGGAGTTGATAGGCTTTGGGAGAAAGAGATAAGTAAAGAGACATTGAACGAGGTGTGACAAGTTCTAAGACAGTCGAAAGCACAGATTGCTTTCTGCTTGCTGAGACGAGGTGAAGGGTGCCAGACAGAGCAAGGCGCTGCCAGAAGCACTGGGTCCTGTAACATTCACAGGGTTCCAGATCTGATCAGACACGAGAGGAAGGTGGCACTGGACTATGCTTGGGACAACGATATGAAAGAAATCTTAAGGAGAGTGGCACTGATGGCCAAATTCTTGTGGAAAAAAGAAAGTAATTCAGGGCAGGCAGCAGTTCCTGAATCTCCCAAGATGACAGCAAGGCCCGGACAGAGATCCAATTGTTATAGCTGAGTAATATTCCATTATATGCAGACACCACATTTTCTCTATCCGGTCATCTGCTGTAGGGAGACGGGCTGCTCCCAGGATGTAGCTGTTATGAATTGTGCTGCTATAAACAGTGGGATGCATGTGTCACTGCAGTACGATGACGTAGGCTCTCTGGGGAGATACCTAGCAGGGGGATGGCTGGGTCACATGGCATTTCTAATTCTGGTTCTCTGAGGAATCTCCACCCTGATCTCCATGATGCTGTACTAGCTCACATTCTCAGCAACAACTGAAGGAGGGTTCCTTTTCACCACAGCCTCGCCAGCATTTGTTGCTGTTTGGTTTCTTGGTGATTTCTTTCTGGAGTGAGATGGAATCTTAGCAGTGATTTAATTTGTATTTCTCTAGTGGCCAGAGATGTTTAATGTTTTTTCATGCATTCATTGGCCATTTGTGTTTCTTCCTCTGTGAAGTGTCTGTTCCTTTCTCTTGCCCATTTCTTTCCTGGGTCTTGAATTTTGGGTGATTTAATGGTTTTGAGATCTTGGTATAGTCTAGATATTAATCCTCTGCCTGAGGAGTAGCAGGCGAAAATTTCTCCCATTCTGTAGGCTGTCTCTTCACTCTACTAATTGACCCTTTTATAGTACAGAAAGATTTATTCTGATATAATCTCATTTGTTGATTACTGCTGTTATTTTCTGTGCAACTGAGATGGTTTAGAAAATCCTTTCCTATGCCTTTGTCTTGTTTTACTTATTTTATCTTCCAATAGCAGTAGGTTTGATTTTCTGTTTTAACAGTTGGAACTTTGATCCATTTTTATTTTAATTTAGTACATGGTGGGAGCTTCAATCATGGGAGGTACAAGGTTTCAGCTTCAATATTCTGCACACAGATAACTAGATTTC